TAAGGCTTGGACATTTACAAGATTTATGAAGAGATTGTGTGTACAGACTTTGCTCCTTCACAACTTTTGCTAGACAAGACCTCAAACTTAAAGGTAGAGCAAGACGAGTTCATCCCCAAAGATGATCAGGCCCTTGACTCACTTGAAGAGTCTTCTGGCACATCTAAGGGGAAATGAGTTGTGGAAGAAAAATAGCTTTGGGGCCTTTTTGGCTAGGAATGGGGTATTTCCCTTCTCTGACTTCAAACTCTTTTTGTTGTAGTGTCAACTTTTCTTTGTTCTTCCTTTGCTTCATGAGGGAATCTTAATCTGATAAACTTCTCTAAAGTAAACAAACTTTCTATGAGAAATAAATGGCAGAGTGGGATATGAGTAAGCTTGTGGACCCGAGACAAAACTCAAAAAACCCCTTTGGCAATTTTGATTCAAGGAAACATTATTTCCCAAACTTAGTATTCATAGGGTATTCTCATCGTGATATCTGGAATGCTACCTTACTTCAGTACTAGGAATTAAACATCAAATCCATGAGAAAACTTTTGCTTCTACACTTATTGAAACACATTTATTAGATTAAGGAGCTTCAAATCGTACCTGAAGACGTCCTGTAAACAGATGTTGATTGTTTTGTGCCTCGCTCCATTTCATTGGAAAATGGTCGTCAACGTGTGGGTTAGAATCACCTTTCGAATCCTTTTTTCAGACCCTACGTGTTGGACCTTAGCGTTTTCGATCTAACAACCTTGGTTGTTTTAGCCAAAGAATTTTTCGCATATCAAAGATCTGTTGGAATAAAATTCCTCTTGGGGATTGCCTAGTCTAGATGTGCCTTCGAACCTGCTGACATACGATATCGCAGAGCATACTTGGCTTAGCATGCTGGTTCAGATAGGAGTAGTCGTACTCAAGGTTGGAGTTTAGAGCCACCCTCAGATGATTTATGAATTTCTATTTTGACTATTCCTTGTATGGCGTAGAGCCCGGGTTTGAATGTTATAACCCATAACCTTGCTAGTTGTATAAACTTTCCGAAAGTCAAAGGCCAGATGGTGAATTGGACATTCGGCAAGGCGCCATGTGAACTTACTTGTAACCCCCCCAATCATTACCGCGCTTATTATGGTTTGAGTCTGCCAAGTTGTTAATCGATCAAGAAGGATTGAGCTAAGAGAGGCTCATCTGACAGTGTAACTTTGAACTTCTTTAGACTTGCATTCGTGCGAAGTTTTCAAAGTTTGTGCCCTATTTGGAATGAGTAAGGTACTTTACTGCATCTCAAGGAAAAGAAAGAACATACATTTAAGACATATAACATTTCTTTATTCATGACAGAAAGTAGAATTAGATTGATAAATGGGTGTGATTGAATCTGAAAAAGATTGCCTATATATCTCCGAGATGGAGAATCAAATCATTCGTGTAGTGTTAAGAAAAAGATGATATGATGTAAACATTACACCAGGTATCACTTTTGATGCCAAGCCTGTGATGGGGTGTGAGGAGATGAGTTCTCCATGGACTTGTCTTCACGCAGACGACGACATTGTGATTGGGTCCGGAAAGGACTAACTACCCATCTTGGGAATGAAATCAAACTGCATGTAGTTTGTGTGGTGCCCATCCTTGTTTAAGCTACTTGTCAGTTATTGGAGACCTATGACACAAGTGCTTTTTTTTTTTTTTGCTCAATCTCCTGGCGAAGATTTTCTACTTCTAATTGGAGGCCAGTCCATTCCACCTCCCAACCATTCTGCTCTAAAGACAACGCCCACTCCAATTCAACTTCAAGACGTGCCAAGGCTTGATTTGTCCCAACTTTGGCGTGGTGCTTTAGTCTTAACTCTTCCTGCACCTTCGCAAGATCTTCTTGGTATTCATTCACCTTAATCTCCTCAACAGTGCAACATCAATGTACCTCTTATCTCCTTCACGTGGGCTTCCTTCATGGCTTATTGCTCTACCTGCATTCTACTAAGCTTCACCATTTGAGCTTGCAACCATTTTTCTAGCTATAACATAGCCTCTGATTCATGCAGAAGAGCTCGCTCATGATCTTGGATTGGTTCTGCTTGGCAAAGGAGGGTTGCTTTCATCCAAACATGGGCTTGGTTAACATATGTAAAGGAATGGATAGGCAAAAATTATTGGAATCGTTTTTTAAGAGAAAGATGAAAAATTACATCATATCAACTTGCATGATACCGTATCATGGTGTCTTCAAAAGTTGTGCAAGCCTCTTTGTAGTCCGCTAGAGCAATTAAGGTACCAAGGAGGGCATGAGAAAATTTTGTATTAAAAGTTTGATCATAAGTGGAGATTGCACTTTCCAAGTTTGGTGGAAGCTGTTAGCAGAGGAATGTCAGCCCTAGAAGACACCTTAATGGGTTCAGGTGAATTTCTTAGCGGTGTAGGAATTGGGACTGAAGATGGAAAAGATGCAAAGATCGGAACTTTCATGCGGATGTGGTAAAGGACTCATTTGCTGTTATGAAGACGAAGGCTTGAGTTTGGGCTTGTATAGTTGATATGGTGTTAGGAGTAGAAGACAAAAGGATTGTGGCTCACCAGTGGAAGGCAGTGAGGTAGATGTCTCAGGGTTTGTGGTAATCAGAGTAGCAAGAAGTCTTTTTTCCATATCAGTGGAGTTCTTCCTCATCTTTAGGATTATCGGGCACCACATCCATTATTAACAACCATGGTTAAGAAAGGGTAGCTAGTAATGTTGAAGAAATGCTATTAGACCGTTTTTGTTTCTTCTTTGCTAGAGTCGAAAAAACTTTTGTTATAGAGAGGAAGGTACCTTTATTAATTTCTATCACTTTGACCTATTTGGTGTATGAAATGGGAAACTTAGGGCAGTGATTGACAACCTGTACTCTTTTCGTGATCTGAGAATCAAACTGGGAAAGTCGGCTAGCTCCAATTGTGATGTTCGAAAGGGATCCACATTGCCTGGTTGATCATCTTTGATTGACATACACTTATATACTCCAGGTCATTGTTGGGATGGAGATTAGGAGATAAGGTGTTCCTAACTCTAACTCCATAGATGTTTCCTTCCCAATCATCGTTGATGTTCCAAAACATCTTTAAAGCAATCCTTATCCTGCAAGGGGATATCTAATATGTATGGCCCTTGGATAAAGCTGGGTTTAGGTGTGAAGTAATAGTGACCATTAAAGTTTTTCTACATGTTGAATAGCATCCTAAACTCTTGAAGGTCGAGGTCGATCGGCTTCATACCATTGGTTGAAGAGTTTGAAGCACGTAATATGTTTGAAGGCGACTCGCTATAAGTCACAAATAGCCATACCATAGCTAACTAAGATACATTTAAAGAGATTAGATGGAGGAAACCTTAGGCCAAGTCTGATAACCATGGATGAATTATGGTGTAGGGACGCTGGAAATCAGATGGAACAGGAAGATCGACATAAACATTTAGCCTGGTTTCTACCAGACCTTGCATTGGCTTAAATGGTCCATATGACTCTCAATGAAAGCCTGACCTTTGTCTCGGCTGCAAACCTTCATTAGTGGAAGGTTGTACGACTAAACCTTGGGCAATTTTAAAGGCAATTTTGAAGTTCTACTTGAAAACGCCATTAAAAAAAGGTGGAGAAGATTTGAGAGATTTTTTTAATGATAGAGTTAAGAAAGTTGAAACCTTTTTTCCCTGAATGATTTGGGGATTTTTTTAAAGATGAAGGAAAAATGTCCAAGGTTAAATAAATAGAGTAAAAGGAAGCAATCTGGCCGTTGAACATAGATAGAATTCTCTTGGGATCAATGAATCTAACGGTTAAAATCAATAATGAGTATCGTAGGTAATTTCTTATTTTTCATGCACACGCAACGAAAGTAGACTTTATAATTACATTCTTAATGGCACGACTTTTGAGACCACATGTTTGAATCCAAAAATGTCATCACTACTTTGTAAAGAATCAAATCACCATATAGAAGATCAAACAACATGTATTCCAGCTTACTTCGAAATTTAAGTGCCTTTCAGATACATAGTTATGAGCAATTATGGGATCATAATTTTCTAGGGCAGAAGTAAGTGGATTGGAATACAGCTTCCTCAGAAGTCTAGTCATGGACTTGATAACGTTGTGTGGAGCTAGATCAGATGGAGCAGCGGTGCCACCATCACCCTGTTCCAGAGCAATGGGTGAAGTCTGAGCAACTTTGCTACAATGATCATGTTTGTTCTGCAACACACGAGATCTGATCAGGCATTGAATCTACCAGATCTTGATATGTTTTGGAGTTCCTACAATTTAGGGTTTGGTGTGCGCCGTAAGTAATCACACCATATCTTAGGCTTACTCATGGTTGTTTTTTCTTTCACAGGTTACTTGAATTTATGCATCTCCATCGCCAGTGACAGTGTGTGAATTTAGTTCCAATAACTCTCTCTCTCTCTCTCTTTCTCTCTCTCTCTCTCTCTCTCTCTCTCTAAACTATTAATCAACTCATTATTGGCTTCAGGGTAGTTGGTCATATTCGAGTTGATAGTGATGACAGTGGGAAATGGAGATTGTCGGAGCAGCACTGGGGGGCGCCGGGGAGGGGGGGTGGGGGCAGAGTTGTGGATAGGGTGTTTGACAGTATTGGGCTCTTTTCTAACAATTAAATTGTAATTTTATCATTATTTAGTTTGATTCTATATGTTTTATTATTTTTTTAAATAATACAAGAATGTACTTGCCACGTCAACAAGCAAATGGTTGATGTGATGGAGTTTAGTGGAATAATAATGAGAGAGACAAAGAATGGAAGGGTAAAGTGAGATAAATCAGAGTATAGAAAATAAAGTGAAATTTTGTGAAAGGATCAATTAGCACATTTCACTCTACCTAATTATTTGCCTTTGTTAGGTTGGACTGATCATGCACAGGTGGAAACCCCACTATCAGCACCGGAACGGGACCTGGTGCGCCACTATATAAACCCCATCCTACTCGGAATATCGACATGCCATTTTCTCTCAAGTGAAATGAAAGAGATGAACAACTTTGCAGCTGTTGGTAAAAAGCTACAGAGCTTTTATAGCAATTCATGCATAGCTTTAAGTCGTTCACTATTTCGTGTCCTGCTCTTTCATTCAAACCCTTTCTGTTTCCAGCTTTTTTATTTCCTAACGGTCTCTCTTTTTGGTTATTTGGCTTTGAGGGTCACAAAGCCAAGAACAAGCACCAACACTTCTTTCAGGCCCAAAGATTATGATATCTTCTTCACATCTGTGTCTGCCACAACAGTCTCAAGCATGTCAACAGTTGAAATGGAGGTCTTTTCAAATACCCAACTAATTATTTTGACCATTTTGATGTTATTGGGTGGGGAGGTTTTCACTTCCATGCTTGGACTTCAAATCACAAAGTCCAAAATTTTTCCCAAATCTCTTAATCACAAAGACGACGACAGAGTTGATGTTGTTGTTGATAATACCAGACACCATCCCCCAGACACTAATAACAATACGTCTTTTGAGCAATTTGAGTTGAGGTTTATCAATGATCGTTCACATTTAGAAAATGATGAGAAAAATAATATCTACAAGTCCATTAGGATTTTGGGTTATGTAGTTTTGGGATATCTTTTAGTGGTTCATATGGGTGGTTCTGTTTTAGTTTCCATGTACATAGCCCTTGTACCAAGTGCAAGACAAATACTTCAAAGCAAAGGCATCGAAATCCAAACATTTTCTATTTTCACCACTGTTTCTACCTTTGCAAATTGTGGTTATATTCCCACAAATGAAAACATGATCGTTTTCAAGAAAAACTCAGGTCTTTTACTGCTTCTTCTCCCTCAACTCCTTATAGGGAACACATTGTATCCGTCGTGCCTTTGGTTTCTTATCTGGCTTTTGCAGAAAATCACGAAGAGAGCAGAATTCAGTTACATACTGAAGAATTATAAAGAATTGGGCTACTGTCATTTGCTGTCTAGTCTTCACTCTTTTCTTCTGGCCCTTACTGTCTTGGGATTCATAGTAGCTCAGTTTATCCTATTTTGTGTCATGGAATGGAAATCAGAAGCCATGGATGGTCTAAGTGCGTATGAGAAATTTGTGGCCTCAATCTTTCAAGTGACGAATTCAAGACATAGCGGTGAATCCGTTGTTGATCTCTCTGTTCTCTCTCCTGCAATCTTAGTGCTCTTTGTGGTGATGATGTGAGTTTCTCTTTCTGTCCCTAAAATATTTGGCCATTTTTTATTGTTTGAATCAGGATTCTTACTTTTCTCGTTATCTATTCACTTTTAACTAACTGGGATACTGTTATTTATTCTTGCAATAATTATGTGAGTTCTTGGAACACTGATATAAATATGATTTTTCTAATATTATTTATAAAAAATTTATTTTTGAATACATGTCATTTCCCTCGTTGGGCAACACCTTCCCCTTTAGTTTTTAGTGTTCGTTTTTGTTAAATGTAAGGGAAGAAGTATAAGGGGAGACAGATTAGTTTACATTTAGGTTTTCATTTTACGTAACATTCCATACATGTTTCGACCCTCATCTATCAATTCCCCTCTTTTTCCTTTCTTCGTCACTGTTTTCTCTCATTAATTTCTCCATTTTATCACAAGGCCTCGAGAGTCGCATGCAAAATTTGTATCTCAAAACTTCAACCAAAATAGATACCATAGTGTTCGTGATTTAAATTAATGTTTCACCTAGATCAATGAATGTCATGATTTAGACTGTTATTACAGCATGCTAGTTATAGGTTTGTTGTTTTCCTTTACTAGTCCCTGAATTAGTAGATATTAATTTACTGTAGATTGAAATTAACTTGAAAAACGAACAAGGGTGAGGATATATATCGAGAAATTACGTGTCCAATGCATAATACCGTTCTTTTTTCTTTTTTTTATTACATCTACATTGATATTTTTACACTAAAGGGAAGGAGAGTTCGGCTAAATTACACAATGTGTAACCTAATTTGGTATCAAATTCGTTATCCACGAGATTCGAACCTAAGACCTTTCACTTTCAAATGAAGAGGAATATCACCAGACCGTAGTACTGAGTGATTACATAATACCCTTCTTATGCTTCATATATCTTCCAAGAATATTCAAAAATCTATATGTACAAAAGTTGATTTTATAACACTTAACACATGTGTATCCATTTTTGTACTGACGAATTTTTTTCTTTTTTCAAACCACTTGCACAGGATCAATATTGTTGGGTTTTTTCTTTTCTTTTCAAATCTGACATCATCATCCTGCAATTTACTCGATCATCTGCTTGTAAATAAAGAATTATCTATTATCTATATATATAAAGCCAATGGAACAAGTGAATAGTGATTTTGGTGTCACCAAGCTTCAACAAAAATAATTAAACAAAAATGCCCTGCTTCAAAGGCCAATGGAACAAGTGAATAGTGATTTTGGTGTTACCAAGCTTCAACAAAAATAATTGGATAAAAATGCCCCCAAGACAAAAAACTTCAAAGTCATTTTAACAGTATTTTTTTAATAATTAATTTTTTATGTTTTTTTTTAAATTAGTACCTCATAATAGGCTAGCAATAATGTGATTCAATTTCTCTATTTTTAAACACGTTCAAAACATCTTAAGAGGTGTGTAATGCCGGTTATAAAAAAGATATTTCGCATGCAGATAATAATGTGATTAAATTAGTTGTCAAATGATTTTTTTTTTTAACGAATTATATTATCTACATTAAAAGGGAGGGGGTGGGCTTAGCTTCACAGTGAACTATCAATAATGTAACGCAATCAGTTATTTATTAAATATTATTTTCTCTATTTTTAAACATGTTCAAAACATGAGCTAGTAATAATATGACTCAATCAGTTGTTTATTAAATGTTATTTTCTTTATTTTTAAACACGTTCAAAACATTTAAGAGGCGTGTAATGCCGGTTATAAAAAAGGTCTTTTGCATGTGCATAATAATGTGATTAAATTAGTTGTCAAATGATTATTTTTTTAACAAATGTTATTATCTACACTAAGGAGGAGGGAGGTGGGCTTAGCCTCACAATGGGCTAGTAATAATGTGATTCAATCAATTATTTATTAAATATTATTTTATCCATTCTTAATGTAAATTCTATATAGACCAATTTTACCATGCGAATTCAGCTGCTTTAATTGGTTTATGAGGGGTTTCTTCTAGCAAAATCTAAGATTATTCATTTACTTCAAATATTTGACTTTCCTTTTGTCAATTTACGCATATAAATACATTTAAAACATGTAAGTCGAGTGTAGCACGTTATAATTCAAAAAATGCATTTTGCATATTCGTGAGCACATGCATGAAGGCTAGTATAAACAAAGTAAGAAATCATGAATTGTCACTATATGAAATGAAAGGGAGATTTTATTTGCATTGTTCTTTGACCCCACCCTTGGTTAGTTGGTCCGTACGTTCATGTTAGTCGCGGTTTCTCATTCTCCCAGGATTAAAGAATAAAGTCAATCAAACATATAGGGAGCGGAGCTGATCCTGATGCCCCTCTTTTCCTTTCCACCACATAATCACAACTTCACATTGGTCTTTCGCATCAATTCTCAAACCCTAAAACCCTCACCAAGTGTTTAATATTTTATACTACAGCAAGACCATTTTAGCCAACTTTCAAGTATTTATTCTAAAGTAATACACAACTTTCAAGTATTTATTCTAAAGTAATACACAAACTGCATTGTAGCTGTGATTCTGTGAATACACACACACACACACACACACACACACACACACACAAATACATGAATTGTGGCTGTAAATTTAATCGACTTTATTAATACAATTCAGGTATCTCCCACCATATACCACATTTCTTCCAACAACTAGCGATTGTGAAGAGATTGATTCAGCAAATGGAAGTCGAATTCGAAATCCAATAAAGACTTTGGTGGATTCTCTAATATTCTCACAACTGTCTTATATAGCAATGTTCGTCATTCTCGTTTGTATCACAGAGAGAGATAAGATGAAGGACGACCCCCTCAACTTTAATGTGCTCAACATCACCATAGAAGTAATTAGGTAAGCACACACCTAATTCTATTTTTTTTTCTTTTTTCTTTTCGGTATATACTTATGTTTAACTATATTTAGTTCTCTGCACTTAACAAGTATAGAAGGTGGTTTCATAACAACTATAAGTAATCTTCTTTGTCAGAATAATAATTTGAGATGTTTATGGTCCTATACTGTTAATCCGGATCATATACATTCATGCAAGAACCAAAACAATAATTAACAGCTCAACTTTACAGTTGATAACATCTGTATTTTATTCTAGAAGTTTATGCGTATACTATTTAGAATGAGAACATTTTTGACATATTAGAACAAACATAGAATCCAAGATCGTGTAATATGAATCACAACCATCAAAACACAAACCATAATTCATAACCTTAACAGATGGATAACATACCTGCAGATCTCCAGTTGATAAAGATGCCAGATCAATGCCAGTAACAAAGAAACAATAAATCTTCTCTTCTCCAAAAACAAAAGGCTCAAATTAATAGTAGTCCTTAGTTCAATATTGAGTGTAATATTTGTGAAAGCAGACGCCATTACATACAGAACATAATCCTAGCCAAAACCAACAAGGATTTCCCTATTAAAATCTATATGGGAAACTGAAATCGTTTCCTTATATAATAGTGAATTCAGTTTCTTGTTCTTTTAATCCTAGAATAATATGGATTCGTAATCCATTCTAATCAAGCTTTTCTATCTAAATTTGAGACCAATAAGCGATTCTCCGTACTCAATACACATGCTCATATTCTTACATGACGAACCATGTCTTCTTATTTATGTAAAATAGTATGGATACCTCGTACCATCTCTGACATAGGTATGTGGTATATTTCAGTGCTCTATTACTTATAACATGATTTTCATGCATTTTTAAACATTGAAATGAGATAGTTATTCCATTGATTTAGTACGATGTTTTATAATGAATGAACATGAGATTACAAAACAAGCACTACTTAACATTATCTTTACTGAACTGCGTTTTATGTGTAGTGGATACGGAAATGTTGGATTCTCCACCGGCTACAGTTGTAAACGTCTATTGAAACATGATAGTGCTTGCAAAGATGCTTGGTATGGGTTTGCCGGAAGATGGAGTACCCAAGGAAAGTTCGTCCTCATTCTTGTCATGATATTTGGGAGGCTCAAGAAATTCAGTATGAAGCAGGGTAAAGCTTGGAAGCTATCATGATTCTTAACTGATCGGACTCTATCTAGGTTTAATTTCATACATAAATGTTGTACGTAGGTAGCTAGTTGCATGTTGCATATAGATGTTGTGTTGCATAAAGGTGTTGTGTACAATACAGTATGTGGAGACAAGTTAATTACAATCTTTTTGAACTCCTTTAAAGGCTAGCATGAACCTGGTGGGCTGAATACAAGAATGAAAATGGAAACAAATAGGTTGGTAAGCTCCAGCCTTTGTAATAAAACCTTCGATGCCAAAGGAAGAGGACCGCCTCTCAGTTACCACCAAAATAAACATCAAACAATGTCTACAGTATCTGCCATTAGCACGGGTCTAAGTCAAAGAGGTTCATCTTCAATCCACGATACAAAACGCTCAGTATTCATAGCCTAGGGAGAAATCTCACGAGCAACCTTATTGCAGCTGCTCCGCTACTTCCGAAAACACTCAAAAAGCCAAAACCTCAAAACAATTCTTGAATATCGTCAAGATGGCAGGTTCATGTCATTTCCATTGACTACATCTGCACCACCTTTGGCATCAACCTCCAACATCAATCTAGGGGTCCATATTGTGTGTGTTCGCATAACCATAGTTCGATCAATGGGGAACGATTTAACTAGATACTTAACCATTACCAGTCCTTTATTATAAATTCAAGAATTCTCACGTAGGTTTCAAATATACTATTAAGTTGAGAAATCTAATTGATGATCTATTAAAGCATGACCAATAGATTGCACAATTGACTAGATAAATTTTTTTCTTGCCACAAATAAAATCCCCTAACATATGAGGCAATTAGCTAGGCAAAAAACTTTACTGAATTTTGATAGGCAATTTGCCTTAACGGTACTTACGGATCCTCCATCTTTTCTACATTGGATTCAAGAAAACAAGTTTGGACTAATCCAACCAAAATGTGGACCATATAAAAATTTATGGTTTTAGTTGACGTATCTACACATTGATGACATGTTTGTCCACACCTACTGTTGCTTTGCTAGAATCTTGACACCAATTATTAGGTTGCAAGCTCACCACCTCAATTATCCATAGAGTCCAGAAGACTAGATAATGCCCGACCGTTTACATCGATAAATTTGATGATTATTACATTTCCCTTGGGTACATGAGTTGAATATTTTGATTCCCTATGTTCATACACAAACGATCTCACAGAAAGCAATAATCAAATGCCTTTAAATGATTGTACAAACACTTTGTAGTAAGCTCACCAAGCTTTGGGTTTTCTACGTAAGGTGATGTAATATTGCATGCAACTATGTTAGTCTGGCAGAGGCCCATTGCCACCCAATCCTATTTAGTGTTACAATAACTAGTTACAAACCTGAAGTTTTGTACTTATGCGTTTTTGGTGTAGACTTTATGTGCCAATTGAGCCGTTGCAATGTACTACTATGGGTTTTCACAAAAGAGATGTTAATAAATATCGATTAAGATTCTCTTACACCCTTGGAAGTGATCTTTTTATCGCTTAATTAGTAGATTGTCACTTCAATGAGAAAGTCTTCCCTCCGTTAAGGGGAGATAAGAACGTCAACGTTCCTGAAAAACGGCGCGAACTATTGTGGATTTCTCCACTATGTCTCATCTTGATCCTTATTTTCGATCATCATAATGTTACCAGACGTTTTCTGTAATCTACCAAATGTGACAAGATCGCATATACCAGCGGCAAACAGCTTGCAAGGAAGGACATGGCTAACAGATGTCCTTCTCCTAGGAGGGACAGGACGTTGCTAGGTAGGTGGCTGTACATAGTGGCTGATCCTAGTGCATAGGTGGCTAGCTAATCAATTTGTCCTCCGCCATAAGTTCAACAGATACTTGGTTCGAAGGATGATCTCTTCGAAAGTGGAAGAGCAAGGCATGAATGAATCCTTCCTCGATCGCTGTCTTAATCATTTCCACCCCATGAGATTAAATCCTGATTACTCTCGAAACTTGAAGTTTTTGGTCCAGTATACTAGTTTGGATGCGATACGAAATTGGAATGAGATTATCATTGATGATGTTTTCACTTAAATCATAGCCATTGACACAAAAAAAAAGTGACGATATCGAACCGTGTTCCGTTGATTAATGAAAACATAGAACTAATTGGTCAATATGACATAAATAATCCATGTCTAATGAGATGAATGAAATAGTTCAATATAACACCGCCTTATGGCGCAAGGCTTTTCTTATACGTCATGTAATTGATTACAATATTATAAACGTGGTTGTAATGTATCTCTGGGATCATGATACGAAATATACATGGAAGTTTCCAAAGAACTTACATCTACTGATTCAAATAGTTTAAACCACAGAACACCCTCTTGGTTTAGATGAGGCTTTCACTTTGTGGATTCAGAACAATCCGGACAAATGTGGTATACCCGTCTAAGTGAATATTTGATCAGTTAAGGATAATGCCCATGCGTGTACAAAATTTGAAATTACTAGAGTTGTAGTTTATGTCAATGACATAAATTTCATTAAGACTCTAAAAGAGCTTGAAAACACTAACTTGCACTTGAAGTCGGAATTTGAGATGAATGATCTTGGGAAACTCAACACTACCTCGACTTGAAGTTTTGAGCATAGTTTTGACGGTACTCTAGTCCACCAGTCAAACTACACCCAGAAGGTGTCAACTTCCGAGTATAACCCTAATCGTCCAAACGCTAGATGCAAATTAGACTTTTGAGGAGGTTATGGAGATAATAATTCCATATCTAAGTACAGCTGAAATTCATTGTACTTAGCTCAAAGCACTAGATTAGACATCTTAAGTGTTGATAATCTTTCGTCATAAAGCGGTACTGCGGCTGCATGCAACCACCAAATTAGTGTTAAAGACGTTTTTCCATGACTATGTATTTAGGCTTACTCTATCATATGCATCTTAGGATGAATCACACCTCCTTGGTTCTCAAAAGGATGCCTAGCTTGTGGGATACCCTAAATCAGACTACTTGTCTAACCCACACAAGGTATGTTATCAAATGATTATGTCTTTACCATTAAGGAACACCACACTATCTTAGATGTCCAGGATATAGACCTTAGTTGCGAAATCCTCGAGTTGTTCCAAGACTCACCCGCCTCACTACGCCACACGTCAGCGATATGGTTGAGAGCTTGATGCAGGTCAAAGACTAAAGGCATTATTACATAAAACTACTGGCAACTGGGATTTAAGTTTTATAATATAATACATGCATTTTTTAGAGTTATAATGCATGTATCTAGCTTTAAATTTGTGGCTTATGGAATTCCTAGGTTAATGACATTTTATGAAATCATTTAGTTTTTTAGGAGTTATATTGTAAGCCTTTTTCTTAATTTTTAATTTTTAATTTTATTTATTTATTTTATGTCTTTTCATATTTTTCACTTTAAGTTGTAAGCCTATAAATACTTGTATTTGTAAAGAAGAATGGGAGAAGTTGTTTAAATTATCATATTGATATTTGAGTTGTAAACTCGATTTTTATGTGCCTTTCTCTTGTTAAAAAGTCTACATCTTTGTTCTTTCTAGTATCTATAGTGTAAGCTGGTATTAGAACCAAAGTTTATAGGGTTTTCAGGCCTCTCCTCGCACTAGGAAATAGTGGACCCTACCTATCAATACTATTTTTCATTTTATTTCGTTTCTATTCGCTACGCCCTGCATTAGTTGGTATTAGAGTGTTAGCTCGATCCAAAGGTGACGTTATATTCAGCATGTCGCAGATACCATTAGATGAAGATCTTAATCCGAGCCTTCCTCCCATATTTGAGCGTTGCTTGGATACTTCATGTCCAATATGTTGTGAAAATTATTCAGGTGATTGTCTCGTAAATCTTGATCTTCCTCAAGAGTTTGATCGTTATCCATATGGTACTTATCACGTTTGTTGTCAAAGTTCTTGTATGGTTCAACAAAATGTTGATATGGAATCCTGTCTAATTATTAAAAATGCTAATTACGAAGAATTTGTGAAGTTGGAGTTTCATGATTTAATGAGTTTATTGGAAACTTCTGCATATGTTAATTTAATTGGGGTTGATTTTGGTTGACAGTATAAATCAAATGAAAGAGAATGTCAAGGTTATGAGGTATGCTATTAAGGGTGCTTTTCAGACTTCAACAGTCAATATTAAATTCTCCAAATATCTATTTGTTTGGACTGGCAGAGTTCAATTTTATCGCTCCAAATCAGATGATGATTCGAATTCGAAGACAGATTTTCTCCAACCCCATGAGAATGATGCAAGCCAAGGGCTAAAGGCGTTATTACATAAAATTACTGGCAGCTGGGATTTAAGTTTTATAATATAATACATGCATTTTTTAGAGTTGTAATGCATGCATCTAGCTTTAAATTTATGGCTAATGGAATTCCTAGGTTAATGACATTTTACGAAATCCTTTAGTTTTTTAGGAGTTATACTGTAAGCCTTTATTTTTTATGTCTTTTCGTATTTTTCACTTTAAGTTGTAAGCCTATAAATACTTGATTTGTCAAGAAGAATAGGAGAAGTTGTTTGAATTATCATATTGATATTCGAGCTGTAAACTCATTTTTTATGTGCCTTTCTCTAGTTTAAGAGTCTGCATCTTTGTTCTTTCTAGTGTCTACATTGTAGGCTGGTACTAGAACCAAAGTGTATAGGGTTTTCAGGCTTCTCCACACACTAGGAGAAAGTGGACCCTACCTATCAATCCTATTTTTCATTTTATTTTGTTTCTATCCGTTGCACCTTGCATCAGAGCTCCTGTTGAATTCGAAGTATTTGTGATTTTCATCCACATCAAGTCCCAACAATGATCTATGAAGATAGCGTTGCATGTATCAACTAGATCATACCATGATACCTTTAAGAAGTTAATGCCAAGCTGAAGGAAAAAAATTTGTCCTAGCTAAGAACATGTTAGAACATTTGAACACATATGCAAACTAATATCACTTTAAAGTAGGCATGGATTCAAAAACAATTTTAAATCCCATGACTTTGAAAGCAACACAAGACTTTTTAACAACATTAAAGAGAAGAAAGGATTTTGAGATTCATTACCCTTGAAGCTCATCCTTGTTTACTCAAGGGATTCACCCAAGTCGAGGGCCTTCAAGTCACCTC